AACGAAAGTTGCAGCGTCACTAAATGCATGGCGTCCTTATATACTCTTGCACGATAGACTCAGATAGGCAACAAACGAACTAGAAAGTGATCATGATATCAAAAAATATATATTTGCAAGCGAAGRAAAGAAAAAACTAACCTCAAACTTGATACTGAATTTCCAGGAAAGATCCCAGTACCAAAGGCGAAGAATTTGGTGCAAGTCAAGCGTCGGAGCTTCTTGACTACTATCGACTACAGTACAAAGAATGTTGACCGCGACTCCAAGACAGCTTACCAGCGCGTTAGTTGATCATAAACCATGCGATTCAATTGTTTGACTGGATTACTTGGTTTAAACCCCAGCCGTKCAAACAATTGCCAGGCTTTAACAAACCATCTTAATTATTTCTGCTGCATTGTTGTCTTATACAATTAATATYTTGAGTCTTTTCTTACTTAAAACGAATTGTTTTAATTATTTAAAATTACTAGGAATTAAATTAGCCTTCGTTGCTTTTGCTTTTCGATCAACTTTGTTTTGAAAATGATAAAGTTTTGCGGTTTCTAGTTGTTTAATCTATCTATAAATATAAGCATATTAACAACACAAATAGAAGACTAGATATCTAACTGATAAATATCATGCATAAGTTTGTTATCAAATGTGGTACTACATTGGTTGTCATGACGCCTGGTCGCGCGTGCCCCGCAATGGCGGGAAAATGTATGCAGCACGAATCTGCGCGCGCATGTCAAGATCTACTGGCGGGAAAGGGAAAAAACAAATAGCACATAACGTATGTGCAAAAATAGAAATGAAAAAAAAAAACAGTATATAGATATAGTTGTCAATGAATGGTAAATTCACGATATTTCACAACTAATGAATGGTAAATTCACGATATTTCACAACTAATGAAATTTCACAAGCTCTTGTAATTGTCAGCATTGTCTTCGTACGAATGCCGGTTAACCGGGCTAATTTCATTAAGCTAATTAAATTTTAGTTGCCTAACTTACCATTATTYGTTTCTTCTTGGTTTTTTAGCGCATGTTCAAGCTTTTCTTTCTCATGTACTTTGGACTCATTATCTTCAAAAAGTTTCTGTAAATCTTCCTCCTTCTCTTTCAAATCTTCAGACTTTCTAACCAACTCTTGTTCAACCAATTTAATTTCATCCTCGTAAACTGCAACTTTCTTCTTCAAAAGATTCATTTCTTTTTCCTGCATCTTATTCTGGAAAGACAAGTCATCGACTAACATTTCTAACCCAGTTTTTTCTTTCTGTAATTTATGTAATTTCACTTCCAGCTCCTTTACATTGGTCTCTGAGATTTTGAGTTCTCCTTCAAGGCGGTTCACGTTTTCTTTATTTACCTCTAGCTGGAGAGTAATTTTAGAAATTTCTGTTTGAAGTGCTACGTTTTCTTCGAGAAAAGACTTGTTGTCCACAAAATCTATTTTTTCATCTTCTAGAAGATTCGTTTCATCTTCAAGAATTTCGACTTTCTTTTTCATCAAGTTTAATTCTTGTTCAAGAATTTCTTTTTCTGAGCGCAACTCATCGTTAGCAGCGTGGAGATCTTCTCTCAATTTTTCTAGCTTTTCCACCGAGTCTTGTAARTCTTTAGCCTCCATTTTTTCATCTTTCAGAAGCTTCATTTCATCTTCGATAATTTCAACTTTCTTTCTCATCAAGTGTACTTCTTGTTCAAGGAGTCCTTTTTCTGAGCGCAACTCTTCGTTGGCATGGTGAAGTTCATCTCTCAATGCCTCTAGCATTTCTACCGATTCTTCTAGCTCTCTCGCTCTATTTTCGCTGATGTTTAGTTCTTGTTGCAGATCGTGCTCATCGGCACGTGCTATCGATAACTCAATGTTCAAATCATTTACTTGATTGCGCAAGGCCMTGTTTTCGTTTTTGAGGCATCCATCATCCATGATGTCTGCTGCTTCGTTCTCGAGAAGGATGTTTTCCGATCTAGTTTGCCTCAGTTCTTGTTCAAGATGCTTGATAATGTCTTGTAGCTCTCTCACTATATTGTTTTCTTTTTGTTTTTTATCTTGAGGAATTGCCTCATCTTTTTCATCTATGTCTTTTTCTTCGAGAGGTTTCTCTTTCTCTTTGTCACTTTTCTTGCCTGCTGAATCAACCGTCTTTCCATCTTCCTTGATACTCTGTGCACCAGCATCACACTCATCCAAAGGTTTTTCTTCAAACAATTCTTCCCTCTCTTCATCTATGTCTTTTTCTTCAAGAGGTTTCTCTTTCTCTTTGTCACTTTTCTTGCCTGCTGAATCAACCGTCTTTCCATCTTCCTTGATCCTCTGAGCACCAGCATCACACTCATTCAAAGTTTTTTCTTCAAGCAATTCTTCCCTCTCAKCTAGAACCTCATTAACTATTTGTTCATGGATTTCTTCCTTGACTGACACTCTTTCCRYTTCTTGCTTCTCTTCTGCAGCAYCTTCTTTTGTTTCCTCTGGTGCCATTGTTGCCGAGGCCTCAGACTTTYGTGGTTCTTCCTCATCTTCCAAAGCAGTGGCAARATTATCCACCTCAGTTGCAAGCTTCTGCCTCTCATCTTGTATCTGTTGCATCGTTGCCCTCAGTTGAGCAATYGTAGTAGGAGATTCTGGTTTATTTTCTTTTCCATCTTTTTCAYACTCTGCAACATTTTTTGGTCTAATAACAGAAGCTAAATTATTCAGCTTTGTATTCTTCAACTGCAGCTCTTCCTCGAGGTCCTTAATCCTCTTGTATGCATATTCCTTTGCTTGYATTTCCTTGCGTACCACATCTTCTAAATCAGAAGCTTTACTTTTATGATCCTCAGCACTTTCAATTTCTTTCTTCAAAATCTCCTGAAGGTCACCAACRTCTTTTTCAAGCTTTTGAATATCTTTTTCCCGGATATGAACTTCCCTTTGAAGCTCTGCTATCAYATCATCTCCKRTTTCCAGTTCTTTAGTWGTGTCTGTCAAGACTTCAAGTTTYYCCAGTTTTTCCAGTTTTTCCTGTTTGTCCGGTTTTCCCTGTTGCAGTTTCATCAGTTCACCTTTGTAGTTTTCTAACAGCATCTCTTGCTTTTTGGACTCTTCTCCAACTYTTTCCAATTTCTCTTTCAATTTTGCAAATTCTTTGTCTTTAAAAATCAATTCCTGTTCGAGCTCCTTGTGTAGCTGTTCCATTTCTTCCTTGGTTTTGTTTGTCTCATKAATCGAAAACCACAACTCTGAAAGCATCTTACTTGGTCTTTCCTCAAGAGATTCTTGTCTTTCCTTCTCTTTATAGTGCTCAAGTTCCAAAACCAGYTTAGAAATCTCTTGCTCTCTGTTTTCGAGCTCCACAAACAAGTCATCGTTCATTTTGAGTGCTTCCTGCCTTTCTGTTTGTTCATTCTTAAGCAATAAAATTGTCTGCACTAGTTCTTCTTTGATAGCGTTGACTTCGTCTTCTTTATAAGAATTTTGAGGCGGATACTGATTACTGTATTGCTGCGAACTATTCTCCTCGCCATCAGCGCCTGCCATATTGTCATCAGACAAATTATCCAAACGTTGCTTTTCTTGAAGTTCTTTTAAGGCATGCTCCATGTTTGTAGCCATGTCCATGATTTCTTGCCTCTTTGAGGACAATTTGTTTTCCATTCTTTCGGTTTCACGCTGTTTTTCATCATATTTACTTTCGAGTACCTCAATATTTGTCTGCAATTCCATCAACTCTTCAGACAACCGAACCTTGTCTTCCAAAGCCYTGGACATCTTTTCATTCAAAAACAGAATATCCTTCTCATTTTCAGATAGATTTTCAWCCTTTCCTTCGGACTTTGACTTTATGGAACGTATGACACGATCAATATCGGATATTTCTTCCAAGGAATTTTTACGAATAGCCTGAGGACTCGTTTCTGGATTGGAACTCTTCCTGGTAGAGCKATGTTTCGTTTTGCCTTGTCTTTTTTCAAGCTGAATTGCAGAGAGCTCATTGGAAATCTCTTTCACTTCTTTGGCAATTGCAGCTTTCTTTGATGCGATTAGCCCTTCACTTTTTTTCTTCGCATCAACAAACTTCTCCTCGATTTGTTTTAAAGCTTTGACATGAGCTCTTGCCAAATCAATTTTCTTCTGTTTTTCGGAAAGTTTATCCGCTTCTGTTTTCATATGCTTCTTAAGACACTCATTCATTATATCTTCCAAGTTTTCGATCTGTTCATCGCAATGAAGCTGTCTTTGACTCGGGTCTTCAAACTGAAGATCAAGTGATGTTTCTAACTGTGACCGCAGAATGTCTTTGACCTGCTCGTCAAATAATCTTGGCTTTTCTGCAGCGGAAAAAGGAAACTTCGCATTTGTCTTTGGTGTTTCGTGATCCTCTTTGAGCAAATCCTCAAGTGCTTGTCTCTGAGCTTTGAATTTTCTTAGCGCAGACTCAGTAGATATCATTTCTGTTTCCATTTGATGTATGAAGACGGTGAAACCAGYASWATTGTCAAGAGAGGACTGCAGGATTTGTGGCAARCGTCGGTTCATTTGCGCATTCTGTGAATTGGCGTCTTCACATTTGCCTTCTTGGAATCGCAGTTTAGTCTTTGTCTCGTACAACTCTTTGTACAGGTTCTTGTTCGCCTCTTCTACCATCTTTACCTGGTTAGCGAGGATCCTATTTTCTGTCTCGATGGATAAAACTTTTGCATTTGCCACATTTAAAGATTCACTATCATTCACTATTTTTCTTTCATTCAATTCTTTTTCCAGTGTTTTTATATCTTTTTTCAAATTCTGGATCGTTCTTTCTTTATTCTCGGATATTTTCTGCTCATTTAGCAAGTTGTCCTTCAACTTTCTTACCATTTCCCTACTTTCCCATAATTCTCTATTTGCTTTGACACTTTGGGAAGCCATTTCTCCTCCACGTCCTTCTTCTTCTTCTTCTTCTAAATTCGATTGCAGAAAATTCTGAGGTATTTGATTCTGGACTGGAACGTCCYTTTTACAACTCTCACTCTCGCCTTGTTTGACAGGCAATTGAACTAYTTTTTCTGGTTCTTCAGCAAACAGTCTTCTTTTCAAACCATCTTTTTCAAACTTTTCGACTTCTCCTCTTGGTGTTTCAAATAGCTCTTGTCGACTGCAATTCAGGTTGTTTTCTTTCACAGGTGTTGGGGTTTTTGTATCACTTCTTGCTTCCTCGAAATTATAATCTTTTTGCCTTTGTTTCCTGTTGCGAGTTTTGTCTTTCCTTGCGTTCCTGGGTGACTGGAATTCCTTCTCTCTTACCTGATCTCCAAATGTTTCTGTGCTAAATTTCTTGTCATCAAATGGTTTTTCAGTTTCTAAATTTAGCTTTCTATCGACAAAGTTATTTGGACTAGCTCTTTGTTTCTTTTGATTTCTTTTTTCGATTCGGTTTTGATTTATGTCCAAAGATAGCTCCTCTTCTTTTGGAAATGTAAAGATGCGCTCCGGTTTCCTTTTCACGTTGTCTTTTTCTTCCTCAACTATGATCTTTTCTGTTATTAGTTTTCTCGATTCGGTATTGTTTTCGCCGAAGTTTCCTACTCGATTTTCCAGGGGTTTTTCAGTATCAGCAAAATGTTCAAAAACCTCAGGCTCGACAATGTCACAAGAAGTCAATCGTTTCTTAGCGGGAAGCTCGCTTGCTTTTACCTTGACTCGTACTTTTTCCCGCTCTTTTTCCTTTGCTAGCCGCGGAGCTTCAAGAAATTTATCAGCGTCTGAAAAAASCGTTTCAGATGTCCCAGGAAAGAAGTTACCCTTTTCTAGTGCTCCTGGGTTTGTTTTATGTTTTGACTTTGTTTTCGTTAACGGCGCGCAAGGGCCGTCTGTAATGTCAATGCCCTTCTCTTCGTAAGGGAGGTCCTTGTTATCTTTTCCGTTTTCTCGAGGTTTGTCACAACTTGTGTTACTTGTTGCGTTACTTGTTGCGTTACACTTAATTTGTTCTTTTTCAAACGGTATTGATATCGGATTGCACAGGATCGCGTACCTAGAAGTCTTTTTTGCTCCTTTCCTTTTCACTTGCCTAAACTCTAAAGTTACCTCTTTTGACAGACAGGGTAAACTAGGGGCCGCCTGAGAACACARTGCACCAAAACTACCTCTCCGGGGGTAGAGTGAGTGCTCGGATTTGTACTGAGGCTGGTTAGAGGGAGAGATATCTGGTTGGCTTTTGCTTCGGTGGTGCGCTCTGTGRTTAATGGTCGATGGGGCAATGAAGACCCCACGCCACTGAGCCATATCTGGAAAATAACGCATAAACACGTATGCTTAGAGTTATGTGACAGGGATGGAATGCATGACAGGAAGCGTTACATTAGCAGCACAGAGAATTTTTAGTGTTGCGTTAGCAGCAATTATTASATAGAATGTAAAGCTAGAAAGAAGTTGAGACGTTTGGCCAACGTGACAGTAAGCGTGACATGTGGAAACACSTGCGCAAGGAATAACAGCATGTGTTGCAATAGACTTATGTTTTTCGGTGAAATGATCGTGACATGGAGTGTGACTGTGATTGAGTAATAGAGTGTGTGACATACGATGAGCAACCTTACGTTCAGAACCAACATTTTCAAGCTTTTCTGAGCCACATTTCTTGATAATCTTATAAATGTTGATTTTATCGTTATTATTTCTAGATTTAGAACTAATAAATATTTAGGGGTGTTTATAACTAATTCAGTTTGCGCTCAACCTGGCTAAGCAACGCGCAACATATCTGTGTCATCATTCTTAGTAGATCAATTATGATGTCTGGAGGTCGGGGACGCACCGACCTTGAATAGGTATTAGCCTCAGACCGATAAATYATTTTGCGCCTCCCTCCCCTCCCTAGTAATTTATGGCTAGCTCATAGATTGAATTGGAATTTAAAGTCGGAGGAAAACTCGAGRTCCTGGAAAAAAGCCTKGAATCAAGGGAAAGACCTAACAAACTCTACTGATGTGATGCAAAGGCCAGGATTCACAGTGGCTAGCTTTTYCTATTGCGATTATTAAATATTATTATATTCATTAATGTGCAGGRTGAAATTTACAAGCGCGCATTAAAACTTGTCGCTCTGCCTTAGCAATTTGTCGACTAATGAGAGTGCGCGCATTTCCTTGATTCATTTCCTTTAATTTAGGACTGAAAAATTCAAATTAAAAGATYTGCTAAAAGAAAACTAATAAGGAAGGACTAAGGTTTAAGTCACGTTTTCAAATAAAATCTTCCAACTTTATATTAGCGATACCCTRAAACAACCTCTGGGMTGACTAAAGTTATRTATAAGGGTTAGTTTAACCACTAACTCACAGWTYAAATTGGAATTTAACGTGTAGGTTTTGCGGAGGCCAGGGAATAAAACCGGAGAACGAGGAGAAAGATCCTCGAATCAACGATTTGGTTCCCGATTCCTTAGGCAATTTTTGTTTCTTTTTTGGTATCTTTTGCAATGTCTTTCCATGCGCTATTGAATACTAAGATACAAATTGATAAATAGCTACAGTTATAGAGGGGCTGTTCTCTGGAATAATCATGTGCATAGGCATGGGCATGTGTTATGAAGAGATTATCGTGTCTAAATAAAGTTTTACTACTGCTACTAACTTAATTATGAATTGATAACTTTGAGAATTATTTGAAAATCAGTCAGGGATTGCATATGCGGGATTTGTCATCCATCAAAGTTATTTTATTTATGGTTTTTTTTCACGATAAAAATACCAAAAAACAATGTGGAGGTTCTTTTGTGTTTGTTAATAACAGTACTTGTTAAAAAATAATACAGACTTTAGGAATTCAATTTGTGTTTTCAAACTACAAGAAGCTGACAACCTCCTTTGTCCTTGACATAGCTATTCTACTTAACCTGTGTTTTCACTCTATGTTTAGCAGCCGATTAAGAATGAATTTGAATTCTGTATTACGAGATGTGCAAATAACATCTACTCTATTTATATTCATCCATCTAAGATTTGAAATTAAGAGTGAACTACATTTTCAGTCGCGCGCTACTTATACATTAATTTTGGARTAATYTTTTYYTT